TATATTTCGTCCACCAGTGAAAACCTGATTTTTGTCTTTTGCTTCTAAGAATTATAACTCTACTTGTATTTAAAACTATGAACAATTAAATTATGCAAAACTACAGTTTAGAAAAATAAAGTTGCGTATTATTTAAAGATAGAGAACTTGACTCATTTAAATAAGAACTGAAACTGAGTCAAGATTAATTAGTTTTTAGAAATAGAATGTTAATTTTTTTTAGCATTACAAGGGAATAAGTGTAGACAAAGGGATATTTGTTGGTGGTGCGTCAGACAAAATCGTTGGTCTGGAAGAAAAAGCGGGCACTCGAAGCGGTTTTGTGGGTTGTGTACGGCGAATTCTTGTTAATGCTATCCCGTTACTCGACGTTCAAGAAGGAGTTAATTTGTCTAAAGATAAAGCTAGTAGGTGTATAATCAAACGTATTAATGTTTTTCTTCTTTTCTTGTATGGATGAGTTTATTGGTTCTGATGAGAGCAATACGACTCTAAGACTTGAAGTAAACAGTTGATTGACCAGATGGTAGTGAAACTGCTTCAGTGAAGTAACGTTTCAGATTACTGCACGATTGATATTGCACGAACACAAAATGAGAAAGTTCAAAAAAAACCCAAAGAACTGGAAGGTATACTTTTATTTGGTAAAGTAAACATGTGCAATTAAGCGTTTTTTTTAATGTGTTAGTAGTGTGACAGACACTTTTTGGATGCCTGTCAGTTGTAGATGTCAGTGAATATTCTTTAGGCTAAGTAACCTTGAAAAGATTGTTAATGCAGTTATGTATAGTCTTTTTTCTAGTTTTTTTTTCTTGCTGGAGGATTAATATAAATTCTTGCCATCAGTTGAAACACCAGTTTGTGATCTAAGGTAGAGAAGAGATAGAGAAAGGAAACAGACGAAAAATTTATCATAAAATATATTTAACCAAATGAGATGAAATGTCAGAAATAATCAGCAGAAACAGCATTCAGGAACCGCAGCACATTAGTTGGGTTAATCAGATCCAAAACTGGGCAATAAATGCATCGTGCTGTCTTTAAAAGTAAAAAAATAAAACAAAGAATTTCTTTTAGCTACTCCAAATGTTCATTTATTTTCAACTTTAATTGAGCCACTTTGAGTCAATTTTTGATGACATTTTTAAGTGGTGACACGCGGCAGCAATTTCTGTTAAATGAAATTTTCCATTATCTGTTCCTTGTTCTTTTCCTCCATTCTTTTTTTTTATAGGCCTTGGTTTTCTTTTTATTACTTTGTTTGCTTAGTTACTCTATTTTGTTTGTTCATTTGTTTTTGGGATGTACTCCAGAAATAATGAAAACTGAGAACAACAACAATAAATGAAAGAAGTGGCAAAAAGCTATATATTAAATTTGTTAACTTGTAACAAAGTGATTGTTTTTGTGTAATATGTGAATGGTTAAATGTACGTGATTTGGGGGTTATGCCGGTGATCTCTTCATGCCAGTTTCTTACTTAATTTCAGAGAATATCAGCGAGCCCGAAGAACAAGAGCCAAAGAAGTCGAATGTTAACGTTAGTTCGGATAGTAGTGGTATTTTATCGTTTTAATATTACTGTCAACTGACATTGTTATTTATAGCGCTTGGAGTTAACATTTTGAAGCATATTTGTACATTAAAAAAAATATAAATTGCTCTGACTAGGCACTAAGAAAAACTTCAGAAACTTTTTCTTTGCGTTTAGTTTAATCATTTTATTCCAATATTTTATTGAAATACTTTGCCAAGCGGTGTGACTATATTTTCTTTTTGCATAAAAACTAATTTGTAAGTCGGTGATTACCAAAGTTATTTCAGAGAAGAAGGTTAAAGAAACTAGTGTGAATGTATTCCAATCAAAGAATGTCGGTTTTAACGGTAACTCGTATGTTCAACTGCTGGCACCGGAAGATATTGATCGATACATGGAACTGCGGTTATCGGTAAAACCAAAAGAAGCGGATGGGATGATTTATTTCGACAGAGCAATGGACCGGGTTTTGGCAATATATTTGAAAAATTCCTATGTCTATGTGTTATTTTCAATCGGCTATGATAAAACACTGTTAAGGTAGGAATGAGCAGATGGTGATTATTTGTGTAGAAGAAATATTGGGAGGTGTAGATACTGGAAAATTAATTGATTAAATGATTTTTAAAGGATTAATATATTAGTCTTAATGACCAAGTAAAGTGCTTGATTAAAGAAAAAAACATTGATTTACTGTATGGTTAAATTTTTTTTTCTTTCTTGAATACTTGTCGACATTTTTTAGATCAGAGTTTCAAATCCCACTAAATGTCTGGAAGAAAATTGAAGTTTGGCGAAGTGGACGGGCAATACTGTTGAAGGTAATAAATAAACTTATAACTATGATAGACTTTAGTTTGCTAAACGTCATTATAGGCAACTTGAAGCGTATAGTTATTGAATTCTTAATGTAACGGTTTTTTGGCTTTATTTAAGTATTTTATCTAAAAAAATTCAGTTTAAAATGTTTGTTTTTCAGATGCTTTTAAGTCGTTTACAATCAATTTTTGAAGTGTGTCTAAACTAGTACTTCCAACTTCATATTTAGCTGTTGTTGTGGATCTACTGTAAAATTGGCCTCAAATTTCTTTGCTTAATAATTTTTAGCAGCTAATTCCGCATTAAAACGTGGGTGGTGAACGAAGAATAATTTGGAGTTTTTGAATAATCGGTATTGGGAATAATTGATAAAAAATGAGCATAGAATGTTTTTTGAGAAAAATGTTTTTTGCATAAGATATTAAAATAGTTTTCAGGCAAAGTTGTTTTAAAAAAAGGCTTTTAATTACAGTGCTCAACAACACTTTTTCTACTGTTTTAATTTTGAACCTATTAAGTCTTCCTGTCGCTTTCCTTTCTTAATGCACTAGTTGTGTCAAAAGTAGTTAAGCGTTTAAACTCTCCTTGGCCAAGTTTCACTCTTCTGATTGTCGAGCAGGACTGAAATTTACCACCTAAATAGGTTTCAGGAAGAATATCATCCCGAAAACATTTCTTTAGATGAACAAGAATGTAATTAAAAGTTTTTTTTAGTTTACAATTCTTTTGTAAGTATTATTGTTATTTTGTGTCACTCGCCACTGTTTTGAATGCGATAAACTTTTGCATTCTATTTTTAACGAGAAATCGAACCGAAAACTTGCTTGTTTATTATGTCTAACATTTTAAAGTTTGCATTGCGTACTTTGTCTACGTCCAAAATTCTCGTGAAATTTTTGGGAAACTGTTTATAGACGGGAAGACGGTTTTTCACACTTTGACAAAGCAGAAGTCATTGCTGGTGTGCAGTCAGCATTATGAGTACCTTTTGGTCACTTTAGGTAGCTGATCAAATGTGGATTGAAAATCGTATTTTCGGTAAATTATCGCAAGATGCTGTTACGAAGACAATATATTTTGGTGGCGCTCCATCGGCTGTATTGCTAGATGATTTGAAAGCGATAAAAGGGTTTGTCGGCTGTATGAGGAAGGTGAAAACTGTTATTTTAAATGTGTTAATATGTCGCAGTAGCGTGGTTCAGCAGTTACACTTTTGCTTTGTTGTCTTCAGATACGTCAAAACGCTCGCATGCTTCATTTACATCGCGACGCTCTGGTTTCTGTCAACACGCATGATTGTGGTTGGAATCCATGCTTCGAGATGACTTGCGAGGGCGATTCTAGATGTTTTAACAAACATACATCAGCAGTTTGCCTTTGTCGATATCCACGTTATGGAAAGAAGTGCGAGAATAAAAGTGGTGATTGTTTAATAGAAATTTTTTAGCCTTCCGGTCCCTAATTTTTTTTCTGTTTTTTTTTTTTTTTTTTTTTT